CACGTGGAACAGGAAATTAAACTGGTGCAGTCACTTCTATGAGGACACAGGAAGGGAACTAAGCAAGATGAACTCAAAATATGCCAACAAGCATAGTTTTACATTAGAAAATAAAGGAGAGGGAAAGAGGAAACATAAACACAGGAAATTTGAAAGATGACTGCAATCATAAATTGTTACAAATAATTTTTACAAAGCCAGAAATCACTAGGAACCTTAACTATTATTTATATCAGAAATCATAACCTACCAGAGCAATTCACAATTTTGTGTTACCCACTTCAAACTTTTCTTCAAAATGTGTTACGTTTTTGTACAGTTATCTTGGGTAAACAAGCAGTGGGTTCATTTTTTACCTTGTGAGTGTCCTTAGTATTGTACTGCAGCTGCCTGCATTCAGCTAAGGTGACAATAAAGGGAGCAAAACATGCACCTCTGGTTCTAGCAAATGCTCTTCATTTAAGTATCCAAATGTTTGAACTTCAAAAGAGAGAGCCGTGAACAAGCAGAACAATACTGACAACACATCTTAAAGAATTTGTTCAAGAAAAAAAGATAAAATCTTCTTTTTTTCACAGTATTTCCTCTTTCTTCCTCAAACACAGTACTGCTCTGAGTATTTTAAGTATGGGATAATGCTTACCGAAAGTCTCAGTGAAGATTCATACAGCAGTCATAGGGGGGTTGAGGTATTCCATGTGGAAGCCACTTTCATTACTTGAGTTTTAGTAGAATGAGCCTTCATAAGAATATGGAAATTAGCAATTTGGATTTTTTTTTCTGTAAGTAGACTTGGAAACATGGATCTTTCAGACGTGGGTAGATGGAGATGACATGTTCTCCATAAGGGTTCGGGTTGGCCCGTACAAAAGGATAATGCACATCTAACACCCAGCATACAAAGGTTGTCTCTGCAGAACAAGCACAAGTTAAACAATCTTCGAGAAAAAGGTGAAAGTAAACTTATTCTTGTGAAAATTCATCAAGAGAGATTCAGTTCTCAAACTGCTCTAACCCTTCTATTAACAGCGTAAAGCAGACTGAGTTCAGGGAGGAATGGAGAAGAAATCATATGGGCAAAGTTTCAAATAGGTGATCTCTTAGAAAGACAGTAAGGTCCATCTTCTCTACACAAATTGCAGGCGAATGCTGTGTCCTCTGCAATCGCTTCAAGGATGTGCATAAGCTTTTGCATCCCACTTGGAATTAAGGACCATTTTCTTCTGCAGCTGCATGCCTGACTCCCCACTTGCAATCTCAGGATGGCAGTTGTGTCTGGGATTGTTATTTGCATCCCCACAGTGGAAGGGGATGACCACATCAAGCGTTCACAGGGAAGCATTTTACGTTGCTATCTTTTGGGCTAGATCACTTGTGATAAACTGATTAAATGTAACAGATTGCCAAGATCTGTGTTACTTTCGGCTGCTCAGTTCATCATAGTTACTCCAGTTATGACTCCTCTACTATTCTGTGCCCCTTTTTCTGTGCATCGTCAACACCTGCGATCACTACCTCGAAAGCCCTCAAGGAACCTCACATGCCTCTAAGATGTAGACATACAGATAGCAAGCAGGAAGGACCAGAATGCTGGGTTCAAAAGAATTCAACCCAGAATGCTGGGTTCATACTACTACTCTACAGTGAAACATTAACACGGTGAAACCCTATAATGAAAGTAGAAAATGATGTAGGCCATTTTACGCATTTGTGTTAAAGGTTGCCCATAAAAATAGATCTGCTAAACAGTCCGGTTATTTTGCCCAATTAAAGTGAGTTTTTGAATTGTTTCTCACTGCTTCACCAAAGTGCCACAGTATTCAGATAAAGTCTGAGTCTTTGAGTAGACATTTGCTGATGCACAGCTCTGCTGATAGCTCCTTTCTATTGTGCAAATTATTCTCAGTGCAGGCCATGTAATACCTCTTGTAACTACAGAGGCTGTGGGATATCAAAGCAAAAACATAGGCTGGATTCCTCTCATATGCTGGATTCCTCCCATTCCAACCTATAATCCACCTTGCTGGATATCACTGCTTAATACTGAGTTTGTGTGCTGTGTAACTCAAACAGGTTGATGTGGATGTACTTCAGTGCACCCAAGAGCTTCAGAGTCAGGACACAAAACTAACATACCAGGACCAATTTACTTGGAACTTCTCAGAGTAGCTTTGCACAGAAGAAACTTCTTTAGTGCTTTGCCAAATAAGCACAAATTTGGGAATTTTACACCCACACAGTGGGCTCAGAATATTAGAAACATGCAACAACTTTGCCCCTGTGCTGCAGCATAGCAAATCTGTACAATACAGACCACTCAGGTTTTAAAATCACGCTAATGACTAATTCAACTGCTCCTTGTGTTACTTTGCCAGAAATACCAATAGAAAGTCCAAAGATTTTGGTGTCAAGTTTATATTTCAATCATTCTCATACCTCCTTTAGCTATGAGATTCCAGATTAGCAATAATTTGAAAATTTTCCATGAGGTCTGTGTAACAAACACTTGACCGGAAAGCTTGAACAGCTTAAATGTTATTTATATCAAATTCATAATGAAAATGCTTCCTCCTAGTAAGTTAATGAAAAAAATATCTACACATTAAGATTTTTTTAAAAATTGGTATATCAATTCACTACACAGAATACTTTCCTTTTTCTGTCCCCTATGCAATGATTGAGTAGTCTTCTTCCTGCAGGCAGTTATTATTTCCTTGGCATCTACAGTTCAAAATGCAATAGGGGTATTCTTGGGCATCGTTCTAACTCCTTAACTCTCATTTTAAAATCCACACAAATATATTTGATACTACATAAATGCAAAAAGAAGAATAAATGTGCCAAAAACTTCAATAGGTTTCTCAAGTTTCCCATTACTGACAGCTGGAGACCTCTGGTTTTATAACGGAGGTAATTAAAAGTATTTTCTAAACTAGAGAAAGTTGACTTTTCATTTCTCTTTAGTTATGAGCCCATCATCATCAAGGTTTGTTTCCTGTCAAAAGGAGGCAGTGGTTTAAGCTACTCCGGCACACGGATGCCCCTGGCTCAGCAGCGCCCTCAGGCTCCCACTGAACCCCCAACCCACTGCCCCACCTCCCATGTACCACAAGCCGGAGCAGCTCTGAGGCACCGAGCACAAGAAGCCCACGCCGCCCTTCATCCACAGACCAGGGGGCTCCTCTCCTCTGCGCTGTCCCCTCACTCGGGGTGCAGGGCTCACCTCAGGCTGCCCTTGAGCCCTGCTTGCAGGTAAAGTTCGGGTCTGCCAACAAGCAGAAGGAAAATGAAAACACTCACACTCTGCTCCAGCCCCAGAACGCCATCAGATGGTCGCCCTCGTTCTCCGGGTTGTTTCAGCTCAGCAGCCTGGGGACAGTTTCTGGGGTTTACAGCAAAGTGCAGCGCTCTCTCATTTCCCTCACCACCTCTCCCTGCTCTGCTTGGGCAGTGGGCCCTGTGCCGATCACACCACAGTCGCAGCCCATCGAAATTTCATTTAACTACACACTGCTTTGCACAAACTAGAAGGAGAAAAAGAAGTTTGCTGAGTATTTCTAGTCAAGAATTAATAAAAGCTGTCTCCAACGTGACTCAGTCAGTGCAGATTTTGGAGGCGTTGGTATTTATCTTGGGTTCTTGCAATCAAAACTGTATTGATCAAAATGAGTAACTGTACTAGTCTCAGTACGTTCCGTTCAAGCTTGAAGGAGTTTTGACTCATTTTTAACTGTAGGACACTTATGAGTGGGTTGTTTCTTTGTTTAGGTTGTTGACCAGCAATAGGCAGGGATGCAATCTGCAGCACGGGTTATACTGGAACCTTGCAGCCTTTTAGGCTTCTGAATGAACAGAGTCAGTGTGAGGGACAGTACAGAATCACATCCATTACCCTTTCACCTTGTCAGAAAAGAGGTGTGGAAGGCTTCGATTCATAGAGTAGAAAATACACAGCAGTTAAGTTCTTATCCTTCTTGAATATTCTGAATTTTTATAGCTTATGCAGCAGCACTGATTATGTGCAAGCCCTGCATTTCTCCTGCTAGTAAATCTGAGGAGTTTTGGGTTGTACGCAAGTGTACTCAATTTGCAAAACTAATGCTGTTGTTCCCTACCAGAGAAGCAGGCATGCATCCTTTAACTAAGCAGATTGAAGGCAACAAATTTGTCTTGTATTAGGCTTGTGGTAAGGAGGGATTTACTCTAGAAACAGCTAAATAAACCTGCTTTCCAAGAGGGGGGGATAAAAGGAACAGAATATTTTGATGCAGCTTCTAGCTTTTTCCAGACACCTTTAGGTTTTTCAGTTTGAAAAAAAAAAAAATGTTGCTACAAGGAGGTGCTTTTTGATAAAGAGCTACGAGTTTAGGCTCAGCAGCTAACAGCTGCACCTATGATTAGGGAAGGGCAGCACATCCTTTTTTTTTTTTTTTTTTTTTTTTTTTTACGGCTGCAACGGCACACTCCTTCAGCGATGCAGTGTCAGTTCGTAATTGAAAATGCACCACAACACACATTAGTTGGGTTTACCTCAACGCAAGCAACATGAGCAAAAGGCAGGTGCTTGGGTCTCTTGCAACTCTCAGCTGTTCATGGGGAAGCAGACCAAACTGAGAAGCAAAATTGTCTAAACAGACAGTAGCTATTTCAGAGAAAACAGCCAAGTACCCACTCAAAGATTACTGAAGGACAAAGGAGGAAGAGGAAGCACTTCATCCTTATCCATATAGATACACGGGATGGACTGCCCCAGCACTAGGAAACCTATGTTCATTTATTATTTTCCTGCTAGGAGAAATTCCTTTTGAGGACATAAATATATAAACAGTTCATTATTACTCCATTTTTTGCCAAGCAAAAACATCCCCCCCTCCCCCCAAGATACACTTACCTATAATCTCTTCCCCTGAAAGACAACTCAAATACTTTGGAAAAAAAAAGTAATTTATTTTCACTGCTTTAATCTCTCTATTGTAGTGTTAGCACTTAACATAAGCATCACTCTTCTACTGTCTATTTACAATCCATTGAAATGTATACTCTACAAATACAATACATATTTTCATAAATGTATGGGGAAATACACAATTTTGTAAAATTTAAAAAAGTGACACTCATCTGTACAGGATCCTCAAAGTTATCACCCAAGAAATAAAGTTTATACAAGGTAGTGTCCACACAGCTATGTAAGGGCAGGTGCTACATTGACAAAGCAGCAAACTCGCAGTAACACAATAAAATACAGAAAATGGATGTGTTTTAGGGCATCAGATAATACATTTAGTACCAGCGAAGTTGTAAATTTAGTTTACCCACATTTCTAGAAATAACTGCAAACCCAGAGAATGTTTTGAAAAATATTAAACATTATATACATATGAGGTAAATGTACCTTGGTCTTTAAAGAGGTAATTTGAGTTTAAAGCAACTGATAATGTTTTATTTTACACAAGATGATTAACAACTTGTAATCGTTTCAATGGCACAGTAAAGACAAGGAACTAAATGGTGAATTTCATGGCAATGGAAGGAGGAGAGGAGAAAAAAAAAAAGAAGAAAAAAGAGCCTCTTACTCTTGACACTGTCATGCCCCTACAGAATCAAGCCCAGAGTCTTTATCCTATATACACACAGTGTCTTTTAGGATTACAAGTAGAAACCATTTGAGGGCGTAAGTGTGCCATGCTTGGAAAGTCAGCCTGAGAAATGTCCCAGAATTCTAGCATTTTAAGATTGGAAGGTCCCTGAAGAAGTTCGGCATTCCAAAAAACAACATTTTGAGCTTTTCAGATAAGATCATTTCCAATTTTTCCTTATTCTTCATGTCCATATCCACGCGGTCACAAGTCTGTAAACTGAGGCATCAATGCTACCAAAATGCCAAACTGATTAAATCCATGAAACTTGAATGAATGTATAATGCATTCATATTTACAAACATTTGCATCAGTTTTTAAATCAGAAATTGTTTTGGTATATACTTGAAATGATATAAAATTAATATTTTGAATGCTAAAATATTTTGGTCCCCCTGGATTTCCAAGAGCAGATCTGGTGATATTACAATCTTAATTTAAAAAATACTTATGTGTACCTGTGTCCATATATATAAGATATGATATTACACAGGTAACATTAAAAGTTACATATTATATACAGACACACCCTTTGTAAAAGGTGTTCAGTTTATATAATGGAAAAAGAACAAAGCTTTCAGTTGTGCTGTCAGAACTGAGGATACATAGGACTCTATTCAGAGTTTTCCTGCTCTGCATTTTAGTGTGAATGAAATGGTTGCCCCCAAATAATTTTCAGAGTCACACACTGCATCAAGCCTCCTTTGTGCACTTTGCTTTTGCAAGGGTCGATCACAAAGTTAAGAATTAGACCAGCATAAGAACAGTTACTATCAAATCAGGAGAACTAAGACTAGTAGGTGGGTGAGTTAACCAATGGAACAAAATACTGTTTAGCAGGATATATATACTACAGTATACTAGTATATATATATATACACATACACTGTATAGCAGTGTACTGTATAGCAGAAGCAGGTATATCTATGGAAAGCCCAGAATTTTACAAAGATACTTTTTTTTTTTAAATAGGATATCTTTGAAATTAGTATGGAGCTATAATCAATTCTACTTCAGTGATGAGGTGTTTTCTTTAAATATTTATCTAGACACAAAGAACTTGTCAGAGAGAGATGCCAAATAAGTAAATGGTGAGCCTGGATGCACTCAATCATTTCTTGGTAATTTTAACTGAAAAACTGTGGTACGCAGCTTGACTGTCCAGTTGCACAAAGCTATAGCTACATGGGTGCCCTATGCCACCCCTATAGCCTCTTACTAAAACTTACCCATGTTACTGCTTCAGCAACCAAATACCACAGACCAAGAAACAGTTACCGGCCACAGTTACGAGCTTTGAGAATTTTTCACAAAGTACTTTATGCCGAGGCATCAAAAAGAATTAAGCTTACTGTGTGCATTGCATAGTAGGATGGGTAGTAATGTGTTCCCGACGAGCAGGTTAACTCTTAGGTGGGTCATATTAATTACCAGGCACATTTACATAGAGAAATGCAAATAATGGGTTTTTTTTTTTTGAAATTGCAACCCAGAATCTTCCTACTCTTGCAATTCAAACATATTTATGCCTTGGAGACTGCAGACTGAGATTTCCACATGCATTCCCCTGCTCCTCCCTGGCTACTGTATGTTTGAGCAGGCAGCAATTCAGTTTACGAGCAAGGCTGCCAAAGCAGCCTTAAGTGCTCAGGCAAATCTGAACTAAAGCTATGCATATTCTTCTGTGTTCTTACGACAACACAAGCCACCATAAGCTTTGTTCTTGCAAGTATGAGGAGGATTGCTGGAATCCTCTGGTATCAAAGACCTGCAGGTCACCACCACTTCGTGCGTGAGGCACACACAAAATGCACGCACATAAACTTGATGAGCAGCTTTCAACTTTCTCGTACAAAAGCCCAAATGAATCCTCCCTAATTACAGGTACACTTAATCCTTGTGTAATTGCCAATATTGGTCTGTTCTAGCCTAAAGACTCCGCAGAGAAAATATACTTTATGTAGATGATTTAAAGGAGCAGAATCTCATGTAAGAACATTTTAGTCCTCTTGCTACTTCTTTTAAGTAGACAGGGGCCCTTCAAGCATTTCAAAAGTACCACTTGATAAAAAGTCTTTTATAAAATTAAACTCATGACTTAACTATTACAAAATATGACAGTGAACTAGCTAGCTTCACTATTTAAAACTCCTACAGTGGTTTAAAGAATCAGATTTTGGTAAAATTGAAGATATTTTGAGAATTATGTACTCCCTGGCTAAAAAGAGTTTGAATTAGATCTTAGCTAAACAAATGAGTAATTGACTTTTGAACTTGTAATCTGCAAACCACAAGTACCATAGGCTTTGTTGTTCCTACTGATTTGCATCAAGACGAGTCAAAAAAGTGGCACTTACTGGCATAATACAATCTATTTTGAAGGCAATATAATGCTCTGAGAAAGTGGAGAAAAAAGTAATCATGTAGAAAGTATAATTGCATAAATTATGTTCCCCACAAATGAATGAGGTCATTTTGAAAATGAAGGTAAGAGCCCAAAAGGTATACAGCCTTACAGCTGGCAGATTATACTGCACTAGTACATTCAAAATCTGCATCAAAGAACTGTGACAATGGTTTAGAATACTCAATGTACCAAGTCAGGACTAAATTGCTTAAAAAGCCATCAATGCATTACTAGAGAATAATTTAGTAAACCTGTTCCATTTTAGAAGTGATCTTCATTTTGTTTTTAGCGCAGTTAACTAGAAGTTAACACCAGCTCTCAGCTTTCCAAATAAGAAGTTACAGGTTAATAAAAAAAATAAGACTAGACTACACAAGAGTTTCTAAGTATTCTGGAAAAGAGGTGTTCATAGTGCACAGAAAGGACCCAACACAACTGCTCAGCACGTCCACAAAAATCCTGGGGCTAAGAAGCGATGTTCCTATGAAGAATTAAAAGGCAGCAATATCCTTCTGTTCCCTCAGTGAGGTAGAACAATTAACCTTCGTGACACGCCACCTGGTGCGGGCAGATTTCCACAGTTCTCCTCCGTGGCAAAGCCAGGATTACATCTTTATCCCCTCCTGTTGACTAAGCTGTGATAATGTTTTCTTGATGCGCAGGGCCGTGAGCCGCGCGGCTCCGTTGGCATACCAGCATTCCCGCATAATTTTTGCCATTACTCGTAACGCCTGCAAAAAGAAAGCAGTAATTAAATGCAGTTCTCTTCCCATGTCATGGGCTTTTGTGCTGCCTTGGCCTTTTACAATACACATTTCTGAAATCTATTACTAGGCCTGCTGCATGCACAAGTGGTGTATTAACAAACAAGTTCTCACTTCATTACAGAAAAATAAAAGTTCACAATATTGTAGTTTTTTCAGCACTTTGCTCATACTAATATATTTCAATGAAAAACAATAGTTTGACTGTAGCGCTCTTTCAAAGTTGACACTGAGTTGTTTTGCGTTTGCATTATTCTTGTTTTTCTTGTGCCTCCAGTTGAATAGCAGTAGTAAAATAAAGTACCTAAAACTGGTACCAATGTGTGTACACTTGAACACACTCAACCACTTCCTTCAAAGTGTTATTCAAGAAGGTAGTTTAATATACAGCAGTTCACTAATTTTATCAGCTGTCTTCCTCAACTACCAGGAGCTGTCGTTTCTTGTGTAAGTGTTTTCTGTGATGTTTGTAAGCCAAAGCTTTAACTCAGCTGAGGTTCCTCAGCTTCCCAATACCCACCTTCAAAGTCAAAGAGGCACACACAATGCAAGTCAAGAGAGATAAAGGACTAAGGCTAAGCTAAAACTAACATTTTTTTGAGGAAATCCACATACTGTGCGGCGACGAGGAGCTCTAAGTGGCCTCTGCGTGGGCTGAGGAGAGCAGGGGTGCCCAAGCAGCAGGGAGCCAGGCTGGCCCAGCGCTCACTTCTCCCGAGCAAGGCCATCCCGGGAAAGCGACGACCGCAGCGGCTGCCTGCAAACCGCCTGGCTCCAACCTGCCTGTGAACTACAGCTCTGCACTAGCTCATCTCTACGCCCTGTTATGCAACTCAGTTGCAACGATGCTTCCTGAATATAATCTACACTAGCTGTAATTTAGATTAGCTTTCTCTATGGCTGCACGTGAAGTGCTCCTAGAATACTCTGTACAGGGTTAGCTATTCACTTTTATGACATCATTTTAACAATTTACACGTGACCAAAGATTAATAGCATTCAATAAAGCCAGACTGATTAGAATGAAAGCAAAATCTCTCAAGGGTATTTTTCCCCTCCCCTTCAAAAATAAAAATAAAAGGACCGTTTTTAAGCTGCTGAAATCAATAAAAGGTGTTCAAACAGTTTCAGCCTAGTTAGTAACACTCACCTCACAGCTCTGCCATCTGTTTGGAATATTGGGTCTTAACTTCTGCTCACAAACAACTTTTCTCATTTCCTCAACTGAAGGATCTGAAGGGACAAGGTCATAGTATGGCAACTGGTAATCTTCATGGATTCCTGCAATTGGTTGAAAACAGTTTTACCTTAGTTAACACTGAACTTACATATTCTTTACTTTTTACCTATGCTTACAGTTTATAGGTACCCAACATTTGTTTTTGCATTAATGACTGATAACAAAAATAACAAAAACAACCACCACCACACTACGCGCCTTAAACATGTCTTGGGAGTTTTAACATTCCACTTCAAATTTTTAAATGTATGCATCTGGAAGAGACAGAAGATATGTCAAACCTTTCAACTGAAGATGATTTATTATACCACCTTTTGTTTTTAGTAAGGTATGCACATCATCTACGTTTATTACATCTACAGCTTGCTTGAGCTTTGTCCCTTTCAAACATTAATTTCATCCCTTTCTCTTCTTTATGTAAGGATTTTAGAGGAAGTAGTAGTACAGACTAGCTCCTGTTTTCTCCAATAGGTATGTATGGTTTATCAATTCACAAAGGCAGACTCAGCCACTCATTTACAAGATTAACAATTAGCAAGTTTAAGACATGCTCACTTTACACTCTTTAGAGAAACAGCTTAACCAAACTTAGCCAGATTCTGAAAGTTGCTTATAACTCCTTGGTATGTCCAGTTTTGTAAAGACTGCCACATACCTCCAATTGAGCATCGCCGAGCTATTTCCCAAAATACCAATCCCATTGCATAGATGTCTGCTCTCTTGAATGACTCGAAGTGTTTCATATTTATGGAATCATCTAGAACTTCTGGAGCCATGTACCTGTTTGCAATAAAGCAGACATAAGTACTTACTTAAGGAAACAGACTGAGAGAGAGAAGATTAGGGTGTTCAAAAGTTCTTTGCTCTTATCCTATACGTTTTCAAAAATCAGTGAAAACCATGGTCAAAAGAACTAAGAAAGCTATTCTCATCTATTCCTGGAAAAGAGTTACGCTTGATTATCTGAGACTAGCGCTAAGATTTTATACGTAAGAAGTACAAGAATCAGCAGTTTACAGGAAGCTTGCCAGTTTATAGGTTCTTAACACAAGAGAGTCAACTTTATCAGGAGGCCTTAAAAGCACCCAACTTGAAAAAGAGAAATCATTTCATCTTGGGGGCTGATCAACAAAAAGGAGAGGTTTTTTTTTTTTTTTTTTTTATTTTGGAAGAACACTTGTGAGATGAGGGAAGAGATTTACAGAGGTTCATCCTAAGAGAGCAAAGGCTGAACTCATGGGGCATAATCTTAAAGGCAGCACTGTTAAAGGCTTCTTACTTTAAGGTTCTTAGCTACTTTAAGATAGGGCATCTTTAAGTAACTGATTCCTCGCTATGCAGTAACGCTGCAATGCCACCTCCCTGTGGTGGTACCTTGTGTCAGAGCATTCCAACTAATTGCTGGAGTCAAGGCTCATGGAGGTGGGAGTGACAGGCACTTCCCAGCACGGTGCTGGAGTGGTGGTACTTGCTGTCACCAACAGCGGTTGCAGTATTTTTCTCAAGCTGGTACAGCTCTTGCAGCTAGCTGTGGGGTGTAACCCTTGGGCAACTTTGTGCATTTTTCTACTGCCTTGCCAATCTCATGCTAATAGAGCAGGCAAAAGGTCACACCAGGGCTTTAAAGAATGACAGTTAATGGGTAAGAAAGCAACAGGTACAAACTACTGGAAGGGAATACAGTGTTGGGCAGTAACTCAACCTCTGAAACAGACACAGGAGAACCCTATGCACAATTTCATCCATCAACATAGCACAAGAGTCTTAAAAATACATTTTTCCCCCACTAACACCAGGGAAAGCCAGAATACAAGACTGGCACCTGGTATAAGGGAATAAATTTCAAATTTCTTGAGAAATAAGCTTTACGAATTCTTAGAACTACTGTGTCCAGTGCAAGTGACACAGGAGGAAGCAAGAGCTAGCAACAAAAAGAAAAAATGCAAAGAGTAGCCCAGAAGTTCAGGTGTTGTGGTGGGGAATGTCTAAGCAGCTTATAGGCATGTAAATTCTGTGCAAATGATAACAGTGTAAGCAGAGAAGTAGTGTCTAAAGAGGAACATAGAATTTTCTTTGACAGTACATATTGAATTGAATGCAGAGTCTTAAAATTAAGCCACCAGGATGTCACCATCTTTCATACAGTCAAGATTCAAGTCTTTCTGTGTTACCTGTATCAAGTCTTTTATTGAGGAGAAAACCAAACAAAAAAACCCCACCAAGTTTGGTGGGTTGGTGTTTTTTTGCTTTGCACAAGCATCTTGCACATATATTGGATACTGCTCTTATGTTAGTTAGTGTGCTTGACAGTATAGCGATCAACTGGTCTAGAAGAAAGGATATTGATTTCACCTTAGGATCACACAGGAAGAAGGACAGAATGGGAAAAACACCTCCCTGTTGCAAGTCTAACAGCAAGAAACACTACACAAACAGTACAGGACTTCAGTTCAAACTAACTCACCCTAAGGGCAAGAGACTTTAAAAAAATTCTGAATCTGTAATAACCTCAAATTCATACTTGCTTAAAAATAACTTCCATTTAATTTCTTGGCAAACTGACCTCTTACTGTAATTCTCAGACACTATTTATGTTGATTTTGGTTTCCAATTACAACTCAGAATGCAGACTAATTGTTCAAAAAGACTCCTGGAACAAGAGCAGGCAGGCAAGTAGGTCATCTAGTGCAGTTAGCAGAACAGTAGGAGTTTCACAGCTATGCAGAGGGAGTGAAACACCCATCTCCTTGGCAATTTCTGTATTGCATTGCTTGTCAGAAACAGGGCTTTGGCTTCTGAAGAAAACAACTCGGCATAGGCTAACATGATAAAATTTGAACTTCTAAACAAGTTATGCAGCTACACTCCAAAAATGTAAGGACAACTCCACAAAGGAGTTTACAGATGATCCTGTGTATGGGCATGCCTACCATTAGATGCCTGCTGGCTTTCCCCAACCCTCTCTGCCCTTTAGTCCAGGGCTTTTAGTTCCTCAAATTCCTAGCACAGCAGGCAGGGAATTTTGTATCCTTGAACAGGACCCATATACAACATCCCAAATACAACTCTGTCTTTCACCAAGCCCTTGCTCCCCAAGCAGAGTTAAATTCTGCTTGTGTTGGATTTGGGTAAACTGCAGCAAAGTGCTCATGCTAAGGCAGAATTCATATGCAAACTACTTCTGTTAAACTACTTTTAAAAAGTGACAGTTTTTCCACACTTCTCAAAAAGAAAGGAGAACTAGCCTTTTTTTTTTTTTTTAAACTTGCTTCAGGGGATGAAGAGAGTGGTGTATTTTCTTCTCAATTTAAAGCTCACTCACCTTAAGAGTTCACCCTTCATTCACCCTAAGAGAAGGATCACCAGCCAGACCAACTGAAAACAAGTCCTGCTTACTCCCTAGACCCTGTATTTTGCAATAGACAATCCCTAGAAAGATAATAAACATGATGCTATAAACATGTTCAGGGTAGGATAAAAACACCCTGAACCTGCCCTGAAGATTTAACCATGTGTAGAGGAGGTACCAACAATGGCAGGCAGTGGGAATTAAAACTGACAAAGAAAAGATTCTCAGTTTTACTATGGGAGGACAGGGAGCAGTAGGAACTTGAAGCCAAATATGCAGAATTATTACTTAACTATTCACAAGAAGGAGGAAGAGGGGACCAAATCATGAAGTGAGCAATTTGCAGAGAAATAGAAGTCATTAATGTCTTCAAAGGGGAAGTGGAGTTAGTCTGGCTGCTGTGAGCAGCAGCAACAGGGTTTCCTGCTACTTTATTCCTGCAGAGCAGCATGGGGCAGATGATCAGGCAGCCTAAGAAGAGATCTTGCAAGAAGCAGCCACAGATACAGCTGGACAGATACTTTCTTCAAAGACTGGACTTAAGGACAGTGACTGATTTGTGTATCCTTTTTCTTTACATGTAGCTGTAGCAAGAGTCACATTTTATTTTTTGCATACAGGCTGTGTAGTACATAAAAGATTTTAGTAGTTTGCTGTTTACTTACTAACAATCACTGGAGACTTGGAAGAAAAAAAATAGCCAGTATTTTGTGATCTACTACATGTACCCTAGTTACCTGTAACACACAACACAACAGCTGGGACACAGGAGGGAGAAAAAAAGTTTTGCAGATACAGGCTGGATATTGGGCAACATCAGCAGAGTTTTGTCCAGTGCTGCTAATTCATTTGTTCAGGTTAATCTTGTGCATCCTTGAATTACTGTAGAGCTTCCACACATTTCTCAGTGGCAGAAATTTTATTCTGATTAAGATCCTTGACCTATTCCTGACGTTATAGGTGCCAAAAGGATTTGCCCAGGCTGGACAATTCCACTGCTCTGGTTAACTGTTACTGTTGCTATACCTATTGGCTATACAGCTGCACAGACGAAACAAAATTAGTCCTACGTATATTCAGCATCATTTTAGCTTTTAGTAGCTGAAGCTCCAGCAGTGATAGCCTTGTTGGCTGTAACTGAAATGCACCAAAACAAGCACCATTCAGCAGCTCTTAAACAGTTCTTGTAAAGACAAAATGTGTAGATGCAAATTTAGAGGCAAGCCTTTCAAGGACGGGCTCATACTGACCTTTTGGTTCCCACTCTGTGGTTTGGAGCAATATCAATGGTGTCTGTAGCTGAATCGTGTCTTACGGCCAATCCTAGATCTGCAATGCAACATGTCCCGTTCTTTTTCACCAGTATGTTTTTTGATTTCAAGTCTCTGTGGGCAATTGCAGGTTTTCCTGGAAGCAAACAAAGAAACAGAATGGGCAAGATGGGGAGAGGAAAAGAAATTCCCATTTCTAATAAGAGACAACCAGCATTATTCTAACCTTGGTGCAGGTTTTGATGTTGCCAAAATATCGCTTCTAGTTCGGCAACTTCATACATATTATCAAGATTATTTCCTGAAGTTATTCATTGTGGACAAGTTGGCTGTCCATAAAAAGACAGAAAGTGTTTATCTGTCTCTGCAACTCTTGTCCCTCTATCTATGCATGCACATATATGTGTATACACAAACACTAACATCTATGGAAAAAAGCATCCCTTAAGGATGATTAAAGGAAGTAAATAAATAAATAAGGTTAAAAGGTACAGGCACTGCTAAGTGCCTTTTAACAGTCATTTTGTATGACAAATTCTTGAGTGATAACAAGTGGATCCAGTTCAGAAGGGAAGGTGACACACGCGCGCACACAGCAGAACACCCAAGCATGACTTACTACTGAGTCACTTATAAAAGTCTATAGCAAGAGCAAGAGCAGCCACTTCAGTGTGTAGAAACTGAGGTTTGCAACCTGCCTGGAAGCTGAGGAAGGAATCAGAACACTAATAGAAATTGCCATACCCTGAGGGGGCCGAAACAGTTAAGTTTCATTTGCATACTGTTCTCAGTACATACTGGTACCAAAGACAGAATGCCTACATCAAATTAAAATGTTTTATTAGCTCAGAATCTACCACAGATCCTTTCAAATTCACTTAGCTTCTTCAGGATTTAGCTTGAGTATGAGTAGTTATCTGCAAAGCAAAGTATCTGCAGAGCAGCTAGACCCTGGGCATGTTTAATGTTCTAATTAAGAAGAAAATTAGAGTAGAAACAGTTGCATGTGTGTCTTTCTTAAATCTAGTATTACGCACGACAGACAGAACAGCTGTAAGGATTACCTTGTGTGCCAACAATTTCCATGTGAAGATGTGCAAGGCCACTGGCAGTGGACAAGGCTAATTTTATCATTCCTTCCACAGTCACCGTATACCTGTTCAGGTAATCAAAGAGCGATCCATGCTCATGATAGTCTGACACCAACCACAGCTGAGTCCAGGTACCATTGTCTGCAAAGCAACACCAGCATGAAGAACACACACATAAGTAAATCCCCACACAACCACATTAAAACAAACACACAACACAACAACACACCACATCCTTATCCTACCCTACATGCTACATTTACACGGCGCTTATGAAGCCCAAATTATGTTAGTCAGGTAACCTCAGCTAGTTGGACATTTTTAATGTCTATTTTTACCCCTTTAAACAAGGGACTATCATGCAAGGCATTCTGAACTGTCTGAATAAGAGAATACCACCCAAACTAGAATTAGCAAATAAATATTAGTCAGAAGTAAATCAGGTTATTAATCAGGCCCTTCCTTCACCTAACCTCTCTGCCTGGGGAAAAAATGCTGAATGCATGATGCAGAGCTAATGCTGCCAACATCTGTCCACTGCAGAATAAAATTGTCTGGGCTTTTACAGAAACGTGACTTTTTTTTTAAAAAAAATAAGTCACTGTGTGTGATCTTATAGCTTAGCTTACAGAATTTTCCTTCTTCAAGCTTGTTATTAAGGGTAATAAGAGACAAAAGGAAAGAGACCAATACTTTCCAGCTTTAAGAACTAATTTTTCTGTGTCTATGCCCTGTTTTCAAATAGAAGTCTTTCAAGCTTTGCCTCCAGACCTATCCAGTCTTAGTCCTGGAGGCGAATTCCAGCAGATTTTTATCCAGCAGCAGAAGCTTGCATGCAGCAGCCTGACACATTACTCAGCGCAAAACCAAACCCCACCTCTCATGACCACCACGCTGCTGGCCAAAGCTCAGATAGAGAGGAAAGGGAGGCAGAAAGGTAAAGAGACTGGAAGAAAAGAAAGAAAAAGCAGTTTGCTGTGTGATTTTGCACAACAGAGGCTATACTACCTTTGCAACATAACCCAAGATCTACAGATGACATGCAGAAGCAAAGGTGTTCAAATTATTAAACCAGTGGACACAGGATAGTGCCCTGCCTTTTTAGAACCATAGCTACCCCCTAGCAGATTCCCACTGGGCTTCTACCCTGCCACTCTTCCCAGAGGTGAAAGAACTCAGCCCAGGCGAAGCGCTGTCATGGTGCAGCATGTCCCTTAGCACCAGCAGAGCACACAGCCAAGAACTAAACACAAAGCACCAGGAGCAAAATGAATTCAGAAGCTAATTCTCATGATAAACATACCAGGGAGCAAACTGATAAATCCTTAAGTTCCCAAAGTGAACTTTCTAACGTAACTTTCTCTTCTACTACTTCCCTCAAAAAATCTGCCTCAAATTTCTGCGCTAAAAATTCAATATCAACCTGATTGATCAAGATTTCCTTTCACCTGAAAGTTTCTAGCGAAGCTGAATATTCCTTTTTTTAAAGGAAAAACAACAACAACAAAAAAAGCCCCACAGAATACGCAAATATAAACTTCTGGTCTGTATTCCAGTTCTAATAATGAAGAGAAAGTTTGCACGCTGATTACCTGGTACCTTCCCAAGCACATACTGCACACAGCATCTGCTCTTTACTAAGAGTACTACTACTCACTCCATTCATATGAACATAAAAAAGCAAGCAATCAAATGCTCTAATCCAAACACTTGATTAGAATCCAAGCACTGGAAAGCTGCTGTTACAGTGTAACAATAACCCCTACAATATGCCCACAGGAAAAAACAGAGAGTTTGGGTTTTTTTAAACAAAAAATAGTCAAGAAAAGAAAATCACGAAGATTACTTCTAAAATCTAGAGCTGCTTCCTCTTTTATTAATTATTTTGAATAGCCAGGTAACTTTACTGATAAAGCTCTTAGAAACCCTAGTAATGTTTTTCCAAAGAAAAATATAGCCCCTGAAAAGTCAAGTCCATTTGACAGCTGCAAGTTGCACTGAATCAGTTTCACAGAACCCTTAGAAACTCACGTGCTTACAGGCATTTATGATACCATCTCAAACACAAAGTCCAAGAGCTCCATGTTGCAGAAGTTCAACATGAAAAAAATCTCAGAAGTTAGAACATTGTCTTAACTCAAAAAAATAACAAAAAAGTAAGCTCCATTGAAAGAAACAGTCTCAAATTGCCTGCACCACCTTAAACACAGAGGGATGGATTCAGAGGTTTGGTCTGTCCCACAAGTGACGCCAGCACCACCACAAACAGCTAGAGTTGGTGACTCGAGTTGCACAAGATTTGGTAACCAGGAGATGACCAAAGAACTGAAGAATTCTGCATCAGATACATGTATAGCGGCAGAGTTGAGAGCTCCCTTTGATCTCCAATCTTCTTCTTGTAGAGAGAAATTTTCATTGCTTTGAAACACTATTCTAGTATCTCTGTATAAAGACTTTTTCTTCCCATCTCCAGGCACATGCTGTTAACATACAGTAGGCATACCTGCTTTCTGTATTTATCTAATTTATTACCTCCGAGTCTAAACATTCAGCCTTTACATTCTTTCCATGGAAGAAAACAGAAGGCTGAGCTTTTAACCATTCCATATGGAGCCATGTTTCTTCCCTATTGATGCTTGCAACCATGCAAACAGATTTAACACAGGACAGTTCTTATATCCAAGCTTACAAGACTTTCAAGTGAAAATGCAGCAATGAGTACATCAACATCCAGCTATATAGGACTCGCTATATTTCCTAAATGTCCTTGTTGGACAAACTACATTGACTTTTTCATGAATCTAAGCAGAATGCTTAATCACCCTGGAAACACTATGAGAAGACTTTTTTGTTTAGTGACCCTGAGTCTGTTTTTGCCTCATAGTAAACAGCCTATGCCACAAGGCTTCTTTATTTCCACAGCTGGTAATACAATTATGCTCAGTAGTACTTAAATGCAGTAGCACAGCCTAACAGTGACAAGGTAATCTAATTTAGTTCATATATGCACCGTGAGCAAGAAACTCAAGAAATTTTGTTTTAAACAAAGTCATTAAACAATGAATTTATGCATGCTCTTAGAAACAAACATACAACAGCTTAACTACGGTTATTCCCTTTCTTTCAAAGAAAGCTTCTGAAAATATTTTAAGACCATCAAATCACTTAGAGAAAGGTCTCTCTATTATAACAGTGTAAAGCAGTTTGAAGTTGTGAACAGAGAAACTTTTCCCTGTCCATGGCTGGAAAGACTAATTACAGCTTGTGAAAGTGAGTTAATGAGTTCCAAGCTGCATCTTAGACAAGCTGCCTCTGAAGACAGCAGCCTATAGCAATTACCTAACCAAATTTATACAATGAGATCTTAATTTTTTTGTATTTGTGACATAATTGACATAATTAGCATTTTTCCTATTGGTTCCAGCATAAAGTTTTGAATTTACATACTTATTATATACTTGTTCTTAGGCAAAAGATTAGATAAAGGTCTGGCAGTTGCTTAGCACAAGAGATCTGAACTCCCAACATATCCTTCCAGGTAAAGGCTTAAGAGTTACAAAATCTCCTCTAATACGGTTTAGTAGGATATTTCAAAACATTCCAAAACAGGACAACAGGATGCTACTAGTCTTCCTTGGCAGCCAAATGACAAAAATGGGGGAAAAAAAGGAAGAAAAAAAATCAGTGAAAGAGATCAGATAGTGACAAAGTTTACAATTAAAAGCATTCAGAAATTGAAATGGGGAGTTTTTAAGAAAAACTTATTTCTGTGTATGGAAGTTTTATCATCAGTGAAACTGGGGCTCTACCACACTAAGATACTCATCTGATGAAACTGAAACAAAGAAGAAAAGACATGGATAAAAAAGGCCTAAAGCTTTTAACAAGATCTTCCAGTCAAGTTCTTTCTTTTCAGAGCTTCTAAAAGGGTAAGTGGCTCAAGCACTACTTCTCTCAAGAGGAAGGCATTCTGCTCATTTCCCTGCTGCATCTTGCCTACCATCATTCTTGGGCATTCACTTAGGTACTGACACCTCACTGAACAGAGCTCAGAACTTGCACCAGGAAAGGTGCAGCTTTCTCAACCGAGTGGAAGAAACAGAGGAACCAAAATATTTCTGTGCCTAAAGTTGTTTTAAATAGTGCACAGTACAAGACTTTACCTTGTTAAAAGGCGCTTAGTTGTATTAGTTTATGGTTCTCAGACAGCTGCAGCCAGGGAAGTCTTTAGTACTGAAAGAAGAGGTTGCAGACCTCATTTTCCTGCCAGTAGAGTAGTGCAGGTGAGAACTGCCTTGTTAAGCTCCTGGCTAACTAAAGAGCTAGCCACAACAGAAATCGTTTAGCCAGACACAACATGACTGCAGTTAAAGCACGCATTGCTTTTCAGTCCTCAAACTGGCTTAACAGTAGCACCTATTTCTAGAATAGAAATCAGTTGTAGAAGAAGGTACTGAGAGAACAAGAAGAATTTTATTATGTTTTTATACTATATATTTATATGCAACAATCTCTTAGTTTTAAATATAGGCTCCACGGGTCCATGAGAACAAAATAAACCTCTCACAGCTACTATGACTCTCAGACCTGAAATTGCATCCGATATTAAAAACCTAACAACAAGTTGTCTGGTACTCTTGGGACCTCCAACCTTGAAGATTAATAAGTTATATGAATACTCGCTGGGAACAATTCAACTAAATCTCCCTTGAAGAAAAGGAATGGTTTCCATGACCTCTCGGGATATCTTCCAGTTCCACAGATGATATGGAAGATGAGATGGATACATCAGGTGCACCAAGAATCCACTTGAGAAGCTGAACCAAAAACCTCAAGAGCTGTTTGAGCATCCAGAACAGGTGCGGAGCCTTTACTTCTCCCCACGGGGGATGAGAGTTTTTGGCTAATGACCTCTTAAGGAAGAGCTCAAAGACTATTTGTAACAAAACTCATTGTTTCAGAATAAAAATAACTGAATGAATCAGTGTCACATTTTAAGCTCACCTTCATGTAAAAACTCAGAACTATTGATGGTTTGTCAAAGAATTTTCATATCTTAAATGGAACTGCAGAAAAATCAAAGAAAATCTCACCTGACAGACTGCAACAAGTGAAGCTGCAAAATGTTTAAGCTGTTCCTCTCGGATGTATACTTAAAGGCTCTTTATTGAAGACAGCTTCACCATTTAGATGTATTAACATGACGATCAAACTTTAACGTGACAATCCAACTAGAAATTCCCTTTTTCTAATTTCTTGGTTCACAGGAGTTCTGAGTAATAGTCTCACATATCACAGACTTAGAAATTAATCTTCTACTTTATAACTCACTTTTTTCGGGCATGATTTCTCTTGGTCCCACAACAATAAGTATTCAGCAAACTTGCCAGCAAATCTGTCAGCTTACTGGACAGCTAAACCTCCATTTGATACTAGGTTTGACTGGTATTTTAAATTGCCTGTATCCATTAAGTTGAATCTCATTAGATATACAATTAACTTAAAATAGTTGAGAACTTTCTTCTAGAAAAAGGAAAACACACATTTTGCAGGATCTGTGAAAATCATCTAATACCTTACAGAAGATAGTCGTGTAGTAAGTTTCTTTCACTATTTTTGTTTGCAGAATCTGTATCTTATAGTTGTCATCCACTACGAGTGTGCAGATAATCAGTGTTACATATTACTAACCTTTATTGTCTGCAGCTATAAATCCAAGAATGTTTTCATGCCGTAGCATAACGGTTTGATAAATTTCTGCCTCACGAAACCACGAACGTTCTTCTCTCGAAGAGAATATCTTCACAGCAACTTCTTCTCCTCTCCACTTTCCTCGCCAGACTTCTCCAAAGCGACCCTTGCCAATGCTTTCTTGAAGTACTATAGTTCTTGCAATTGTTCTTTGCACAAGTAAAGGTAAACCTAAAAAGAAGATTTAACATTAAAATTCAACTACTTAAACAGTAAAGCAGGCCACACTCCATTTAGTTGTTTCTTCTGGAATGCACATGAACTCTTAAGAGCTCATCACTTGTTGGGGACTGCTAACAAGCATGTGCTCAAGATGCTTCCTTCAGTCATAAATGCCAGTAACAGAAGGCTAAAACTACCTTTACAGTTGCTAATAGGAAAGTGCAAATTTCTGTTTAAAATTATAAAACCCACTGATCCATATATCAATCCATGAATTTAATTCAGAGAGAAACAGATCAGGATTGAAATTCTCAGTGATCTGCTCATAGCTCTCCTTGGAAAGTAATTCAAACAGACCTCTGCTACTGTTGCGTTTACTTAACTCCTCACTAGATAAGGCTCAGTCTCTTTCCAAGCTAAGATAATCCATGCTTATCAGTAACATTGCCAAACTTTCAGGGTGATGGCTCAAATGCACCAGCATCCTGTTAGCATTCTCAAACCACGGCAACACAAGATGACTTTCTTGTAATCCAAACTGCACAATTTATAGGCACCTCTCTATCATTCTACCCTAGAAAAATTCTTATGTTCCAAAGGTTGTAGAGCTTCAGAACATGAACAAGTCTTTAACTTGCAGTACCTCATAACATACTTCCAATATATCAATAAGCAAGCAGCAGCAGTACAGCCCCAACTAGTCTTACATACAAGGTTGTGGGGGTTTAAGTCTTTCCTGCTTTAACAGCCCTTTTTTCTTTTTCTCTCCTCTCCTGGGATCCTTCAGTGAAGCTATCCCCTGCATGATGACTACATCAGCTGGGTTATTTACTCACAAGAAGATCATTCAGGATATAGGACTACTTTTGAAATATTAAAGTAAAATAAGTATTCCATAATCACTGACTCAACAGCTGATACAAGAATATGTGCATATCCTAATACTATGGAAAACAAATCCAACCAACACCTCCTGGGTAACAAGCCCCCGCGCACCCTTGGGCATTCCTCGCCAGCAGCAGTGCTAGAAGGACACGCAATACAGTCAGCAGCACTGCCACACTTGCCTCTCTGAGGAAGAAAAGTTAGAACCCCCCAGTGCTCATGGGTCCCCCTCAAGAATTCCAAGTCCACAGGAACTTCTGTGTAGCCTGTCCTGACAACATGCATGCTTCTCCCATCCCCTTGGTATAAAAGAAGGACACCATACTATAGATTTCATTGTTGCCAGGTGATGCACATTTTGCTGAAGGAACTGAAGCTTCTGCTGTATTGGAGTTCTGAAGTACAAAACCAGCAGGTCTAGAACAATTACAGGCCCCTCAGACTCAGTCCTGAGGGTGTGAATGCTTACTCTGCTGTCCAGAGAAAGCTGCTTTCTTTCCATTTATGCACCACTGTAAAACCCAAATGTTATACAAAAACAGCTTGTACTTAAAAGTTTATATGATTTGCCCAATGTTTTTTGAGTTTTTTTTTTGTCCCAGGACATCAGCCACACTAAGATGCTACAGTACCATAAAAAGCCTAGTAAATCAGCCACCTTGCTGCTATGTTGCTTTATACTATATCGAAATTTTCCTGGAACTGTGCTTACTTCTGCTACTACTTGCCAGCAAGTCAGAAACCCAGAACCCACATTCATCTTAATTCCACAAGAAGAAAAAAAAAAGTTTTCTTACAGATACTGTTTCATTGCACAGTCTCTTCCTCTTTTTGGATAAGAACAAAAACCAACACACTCCCCACCACTGAAACCTACATAACTCTATGCCAGGAGTCTTCCCCTGGAACATAATCCAAAATCCCTTGAAATGGGAAAATTTCATTTCCTTCCTGCCTCTATGAAATCGCAGCTAAGTTACCAATATTGTTTGAAGAACTGGATGCAAAACTCTTTAGTATCCAAACAAGCTGACTTTGTGACTCTTTGAATTTTTAACTACTTTTAAGTTCCTCTATCAACTCATTTAGCCCCAACCAAAGCTTCTGTCTCTCCTGCCTTAGAGGTTTCTTACTAGTTCCTTATAACAGAGTTGTCCTGCCATTCCCTGGTTAGAAAGTTAAAGCTAGGCCTTGCAGTATGTCTATGCACTATTCATTTTTTCCTTCACAGATTCCTGACATAAGCTGAAGTCATTCTCTGCTTCAAGAGATGGCAAAACCACTCTTCAAATCCTTCCTCTGAAACTTAAGCTTTTATTTCAGGTCTTTTATTAATTCCTTTCATCAAATCTCCAACTGTCTGAGGTCCTGGTGTTTGTTTCTTGTAGAACACCAAGGAAACACTTACGTAAGTCAAAGACTGAATAACCAGTAGCAGCTTACTATTTATTATGTTAGAAAATGAATCCTACTGCCCTTTTCATCTGAGTAGTAATGTTTTTTTTATAGTTTTGTATATCTCTCAGTTTTATATGGTTCTCAGAGAATACAATAATATAAGACTGTAGCAGAATCATTTTTATCTGACCACAAATTCCTTCAGTCCCCTTGAGCATAGTACAAATCTAAGAACACTTGCTTTAGGTCACTATCCCCAACACTGTGTACATCTCACATAAGAACATGCTGTGCCAGTTAACAAGGGCTTTTCTGACTAGGGCTGGATCAGTTTGTCTCTTCTATCCATTTTCACTGTGCTTCCCGTAATCTTTCTCCACAAGGACATCCCTTTTATACATTTCATTTCTGACAGGATTAAACACTATTTTAACCAACGGCTCAGACACCTCTTCCTGTTACTGCTACAGAAAATAAGTATCCAAGCAGCTCCTATTGCACTCATAGGAGAGGGGAGGTACAAAACACACCTTCTCACACATTGCATCCATTCTATAGATACAGCAACAGGTATTTGCTGATACAACGCTTCCTGTAAAGTTAAAAAACAAGCTAAAATATTAACTTGTACACAGAATATCCTTCACATACTCACTTACATAACCGTAAGTGTAAATAAATTTCAGTTTAAAGCTAAAAAAAATCTTGAATTATCTCAAAGTGAGGAAGATGGGAATTATATATACGCTATGCACAGAAACACACTATGCAGACATAAATGGTATATGACTGAGCTTTGCATTAGTAAGGGAACTCTCATTAGTGAGTATAGAGGGAATAATACACCTGAAGGCCAAATGCACATTTCTCTATGTAACAGACTGAACTTGTGGAATAAGGGACAAAAACAGCAACTAAACTTGTTTTTTCTATTTTTCCAGTGTACTGAATCTTTCCTGATATACGGTATTTATATGAATGCAGCTTCTTTTTGTTCTTTTAACACTATTAAGGCATGTTTCTTTAAAAAACAAACAAAAAAACACCCCAAAATTCTTATACACAGATTTTTTCTTTTATAATTAAAAGTATGCATTACCTGACCCAGAGCCTGAAGTTGTCATATCATAAATTAAATCTTTTAAAGTAGTTCCTTCCGATATGAAGGGACGATCTAATGAGGGATCTTCTTCACTTGGTACGCGGTGATGAATTACAGTACGATTATGACAGAGATACAGAATCAACATAAGCGAAATGCAGACAAAGCAGACAGGGCCGGCAATGACAGCTGCCAGTTCCACAGGTCCTAGATTAGAAGCAGGTTTTCCTGGAGTTGGGCCTGTCGGTAAAGAAAAAAATATGTATATAAATAAAAAGGGCAAAATTATTTCTATGTAACACAGTAGTCACAGTGTTTGTGACTATATCTCATAGTGATACTGAAACTATTCTAATGCATTTTTAAATTTGAATTTAAGAACAATAACTTTCAAAAATCAAAGTTGGTATTATAAAGGACAAAAGCAACTGTATAATTACTCATAGTTTATTTTTTTAAACTTGTATTTAAGACTTCAAAATTGTTTCTAACATGCCCATCGAGGACACCAGTTTCTTGCTCCAAAGCTCTTCATATTTTAATTACAGAGTTTGAGGTGACCTTTGGGCCCTTTAATTTCTACCTGCTTTCAATAACTCCTACAGAATTTTCTGTTGTTAACGGTAAAGAAGAGAAGTTAGTAAGCCCCAAACCCCTTACCTGGTGTTGGAATCGGAAGCTCTCTTTTATTGCAGAGGTCTCTGTCACAGCAGTGAGACACAGTAATCACTCCGTCTCTGGAGGAGGGGGCACAAACAAACGGCCTGTCTCGAGGAATCAGATCAATTTCTGCTATGCACATGCTATTGTGTATGACTTTGTCCACAGTCCGTGTTACTGAGGTAAAACAGAGCCCATCTGTGACACATGTAAAGTTGTCTTTTGTACAGAGATGGCAATAACATTTTAATGCTGTATTGAGAAAAGAATTAATGTTAGTTGTTATATATTTTGAATTGTGAAACAGTTGGAAGGATGTCAAGAAATAAGTTTGTAGCATTATACGCCTATAATCTTTTTACTTACATAAACTTAAGAGTAACGTTAATGACAAGGACTACAATGCTTTTTAGCGGGGCAGTAAAGTTCGGACAGAAGCTGAACAAAGTCAAACTTGAAATCAACTCTCCCTATACAATTACAGATTAAGGCTAAGACTAAGATCCTAGCTGTTTCTCCACCGGGTCAAGTTTTGTTACTCTCATAGTAAAAATCTAGACATTTTCATACTACTATCTTGCACAACCTTCAGCATGCAATCCTGCTGTTCTCAAAGCCAATACAAATAATGCTGTTTTCACTGCAACTAACATGGGTTGAGCTTTCATATGCAATACACAGTATGTTGCTGGCTGCTTTAGAAGGCTAATGCTGTATATATTACATGATGGCTTTATATTTTTTTGCTGAGGAAATGGCATATAAAGACTTAATCCTCATAAAAAAGAAATCCAAACATCCTGAGCACATATCCTTTCACATAAGCAGAAATGGGCTTGACTTTAATTCATGAATCTGTGGAAAAATATTACCTTGCATTACTCAAGTGCCCTGGTTTACTAAAACTACCAATCGCACTATAAATGGCAGGGAGAATGATAGACATGTATAAGACAACTAGATTTTATTTGTTAATTCTCAGAAGTTCTGGAGAAGAAAATCTACTAATTCCAATTTCTCTCACCATTCCTTCCTTCATTTAACTGTACCAAAGCTGACTAAACTCTGATTAGCACAGAAAAAAAGAGAGACTAAAATAGAGATTTAGACAATGGCAAATCTTAAACATTCTTGCCTGGAAACACAGATAAATAAAAATAAAAATACAAGAAGCAGAAAAACATACAGAAAACTATACTGACACACAGGGCTGACTAGGCAAACAGTCCAACCTAAAATGGGTTAAGTCTAAGCAAACAGCTGTGTGGTCACAGCCCAAAAAATCCCTTCTCCNGCAGCAACCTATAAAGTATATAATACAAATCCCTTATCTTTCATAGCTAGTTAAGAACAACATGATTTAGAGAGGAAGAGATAATTCAAGAGATTTCATCTGCATGCAGTTCCTCAATATCCTTCAGGTAAGAGAGCAGATGTTTTCATGAGGATTTTTTTTTAAAACAGAGATGACAAATGTCAAACGGAAAAGCAGACAGGAAAATCTGCATAAAAATAAACAATATGTTCTCACAAAATCAGTTCCAGAAAATTTGAAGGACCCCAACTGTAATGTAAGATGACAAACTTCTTTCAAGTATACAAAAATTCTCATACCAGAGTCATCTCAAGGAAGCACAGTAAAATATGCCCTGGAATCTGTGATTTGGCTCTTCACCTAAATTCAACAAATTAAGATAAACTGCTTGAATTGCCTATGAATTTCCAACCCTCTTTTGCCTTGGATATCACATATTTCAAAAAAGGGCAATTTGATCTGAAATATATATATATTTCATTCTGAATTCACATTTCTGAGTTCTTACAACTCCCCACCAAGTTCTCTCAAACCACGTTCTTGCCCAACACCCTACCTTATGAGATAAAGCACTTTGGTGAGCAATTTAGGTGCAGCTACAGAAAGCTACCCCATATGTCAGAGACTGTCAGCTCCCCACAGCCAAGTTGCTTCTTTCCAACCCCCACCTCACTTAAGACTTTCAGATTGAAACTTCAATTGTACTCAAACATATTAACCCTTGCACGACATTATCTCATTTGCTTCATCCAGAACACTTTTCCATTTGAATAGTCTTCTTGGCTCATCATAACTACTTCAAATGTCTGAATGTGTACATTACAGTTAGCTATTCTGCAAGATTATCTTTACATTAGGCCTACAGATACTTTATGTTCCTTCAAGTGCAGAATGATTAAGCATAACAAGGTCACCTCTAGCAACAGCTCCCTGATCATACAGAGATATAAAAGCATGTCAATACCACTCTGCTAAATAGCGAGTTGGGCCCGAGTCTTATCTTCCTTACTCATTTTGCTCCTGTCTTTTGCCGAGTAATTCCCAAGTGCAATTTGATAAGACAATTTACACTATCTCTGCAGTTTATTGCCACTATCTTCTACCTTCCTACCAAGCCACTCTACACTGTCAGACACAACTGAATTGTTTCTTAACACAACTACAGCTATACTTGCTTCTGAAGCTGCTCTTCCCCTCCCATTTTTTAAGCAGCAGAAAACAAGGCTTTATCCCTTGATTAGTCAACAGAAATTCTCCTAGGAACACAAGTTTCCTGCTGCTCTGTTGGACATAGTCTTATAAAAAAACCAAATCAATTAATACTTTGGCCACTGTAATGCTTTTGACGTTTGCAGTTCTTTATACACCACAATCCAAACAGGCAACAGTAAAATTTCCTTATTTTCATAACAGAAAAACTGAACTGTCTTCAGCAAAAATACACACCAGGATGAGGGAAAATAGAATTTTAGTACCTTTGCACAAATCTCACTCTTCACTTATCTATGTGCAAGAAAACAAAAAACATGAATAAATGAACACTTTATAAGGAAGATTTAATACTGGGTAGTAAAGGAGTTGTTGTCAATGATGACTACTTCATTAAAGCAAGTGTTTTCAGTAATAACCATAATCTCAAAGTGAACAATTTACTACTTTATCTCCATAATGACAGTAGTGTGAATTAAAAGCTTTCCCCTCCCCAAGTAGCTCAATTTTTTCTCAGGGAATCATTGTAGTCATTTTAGAATCCCAAAGAGAATTCAGTCAGGTCTTCAAGACCACTCGAAATAAATATCTTGTAGTTAGAGCTGGCTGATAACATTATGCGATCAAACACAACCACTGTAATCCAGTTTTCCAAAGATAGTAGTTTCTTTCCTCCATAAGACATTCCAATATATTTTGGAAATAGCTTTTAAAGATAACACAAGAAGCCTCTTTAAAACTGCTTAAACAGAGAGATGGGGGCAGGAGGAAAGTGAGAAATTGATCCAGTTCATGCTTTTAACAGCAGCGAACAACAACTTCACTTAATCTGTATGTACGGATTACAGTGTTTGGATATGACCACCAGTTTGAAGATCCACTACCAACTAATGGAAGGTTATTTTTGTTTGAATGATACAAGAAAAGAGGAGATAAAGTTCAGGCAGCTAAGTGAATGACCTGAAGGTAATACAGATGACCAGTGACAAAGCCAAGAATAGAGGATAGGTCTCCAGAGCAGTTCAGGGCCTTTTCTACTGAGCTTCTTCACTGTCCTGACCACACTGCATAATCATTCCTTCTACGTGACTCATACCCATAATAAAGAAAGCAACAGAGGAGAGGCAATTAAGAAAAGGAATATATAAAGTATAACAATATATAGCACATTATGGGTAACTTCTATGACCTATTTCTTGTCACTTGAGCTGATTTAACAATAGGTTAAATCTATAGCACTCTTGTGCTGAATGCAGTTACTTGAATAATTCCTCTGGCACGGACTTTCACTGTGAAAGTCTTTAAAAGTCTCTCTTCTACGGGTGTTGCAGTGCAGAAACTGCACAAGGAGGATGAAACAAGCTGGAAAAGCAAGCGAGACATGGCAAAACTATACACTTTGACAAGAGTTAAGAAAGTTGTTTCTGGAGGGCCCATATTAATGCTAGTACAATATGCAGACAGAACAAAGAATTAAATAATTTTGTTCACTTAGCTTTAAGTGTGTTATTATTAGATTGTGGGGAAAAAAGTTCTGATACTGACACATTCCTTAAGTTTTTAAAATTAAAAAATAAAGCCTTTATTTTCAGAATTACATAAAACCCTGTGAATCATTACACAGTATTTGCTAACATCCTGCAGAATTACTGGACTTGGCCAGTTTACAATGCTTAGAGCACCACCTACAATTAAAGAGATTCTGTCCAGAAAACATATGTACAGAAGCAGTGTATAAAAGCACTTCGAGACTTACAAAAACAATACTATATATCAATAGTAATTTTTCAATTAACTTAACATATAGTCAGATAAAAACAGGCCCCAACAGCAGCACTATGCTGAAAAGGAATCTCAATATCCTTCTGTTGTAATATTGTAACTCTTTTGCTAAGAAAAAGAGAAACAATAATCTGAAACAAGCAAAAATATAGTACCTAGAAGGGGGGGAGGGGGGCGCGGGAAATAGAAAAATCGGGACTTTGTTTCCACAAGCTACAGAATCTGATAGGGAAAAAGACTGAGGCTAAGATGTATTAAAGATGGTTCTCTGGGAGGGGGTTGCAATGTTTATGAGTACTTCTTTCCCTATCCAATAAACTTTGACAGAAGTAAAACCACAACACAGGATGGTTTTCTTATTTATATACTCTCCTCAGTATCACCAAGAGAAATATCTAGCTCAAGATGAAAAAAAAAAAAATTTAGATCTCATGCCTAGAGCAAGGGCACACTTTTTAATTGTGGTACTTCATGACCTTTGCAAAGTCATTCTTTTTACAAAGGCACTAAGTAAGTTCAAGTGTTGCACAGGAGTATCACATTTTCAGGAAAGCTTTCACTGTATTACATTCCATCCTCCTTGTTACAGAAAATTTACACTGAAAACAGCAGCTTGGGGCAGCTACAATGATATGCTTAGAGGAGACGACCTGTTTTAATAAGGCACTATCCCCAACTTGTGAGTAATGATAAAACCTTGTGAATGATCCCAGCTTTGAAAAAGGAGCATTATGTTCTTTGTAGCGTAGCTGCCAATTGACACTATCCCCTTTTTGCAATTCGAGCAAGCACATGTTTCTACAGCAAGATATGTTGAAAAAGTATTTCTGATATAATTCATGGGAGAAAATGTTTCAGAATTAGAAACCTAGATTACCTTCTTTCCAAAAGAAGATGGAAAGAGGATGGGTTCCGTTATACATTTATATCAGCACACAACTCAGGTTTGCTCATTATCACAAACACAAACCAATTTTGTGAACACACAGAGCTTCCAGAGGGTGATTTCCCATAGCTTTGGCAAAATGAATTACTATTTATGGTTCACAGTGTTGGGAGGGGTGAGTGGGGAGGCGGGGGGAGCAGAAGAAAAGGAGAACAGGGGTAGGAAGCAAGCAGCAGTAGTTCAGCCAGCTGCTCCGATTCATAATGTGTTTGACCTCCCTATAAGTCATATCATGAGAGGATTCACTTCTGCAGTAATGCTAAAATGAGAAGTGTCAGGAAGCGTCC